CCTTCCCAGCTCCTTCTCCTTCTCACTGTGAGACAGGTTCTCACTAAGTAGCCCAGATGGAGCTCAAACTTGTTATCCTCCTATCTCATCCTCTGCGAGTGCTAGGATCATAGGTATGTGCCACTGTACCAAGCAAATTGCACTTATTTAAAGTATAATTTTTTTTTTTGAGACAAGGTCTTACTGTGTAGTTCAGGGTGGTCTTGAAAACACTATGTAGCCTGATCATAGGTATGTGCCACTGTACCAAGCAAATTGCACTTATTTAAAGTATAATTTTTTTTTTTTGAGACAAGGTCTTACTGTGTAGTTCAGGGTGGTCTTGAAAACACTATGTAGCTCAGGCTGACCTTGAACATGTGGCAATCTTCCTGCCTCAGCCTCCTAATGCTGGATTATAGGCATGTGCCACCATGCCAAGCATTTTAACTGATTTAATAAATCATTGTAGCTTTACTACAATTATCGTTTTGATGGTTTATTATCCACCATTCATCTACATTCAAACTGTCTTTATACTTAATAATTTTTCCTTTTTAATTTTAATGCTCACTCTGTTCATGTAATTAGTAATTAAATTATGAATGCAATTATTTTTTCTTTTTATTGAGTTTATTGGTAGAATCTAGGTATACAGTACAGTTACATTCATTATTGGGATCCTGTACCTTTACATAATTAGTCTTGATTCTCATTTTTTCCCCTTGTCCCTGCCCTCCCTTCACCCCCTCCTCCCCTCCCCATTTACAAACACTTTATTTCCACTTTTTTCAATTTATCATATTTTTTTCCTCTCCCTTATCACCTTTCCCCTACCCTTCCCACTTTCCCTACACCTTTAGTCCTTTACTTCCTATTTCACATTATTAATTCTCTCATTAGGATCCTGTGTACTATTATAGTGTTTCACACCAGAGAAACTATTCGGTATTTCAGTAGAAGAAATCTCTGTATGTACATTAAAAATACAGAATCCTAAAATAAAACTAAAAAAGAAAGTAAAAGAGAACAGGAAATGATGTAAGATTAAAATACTCCTTAATTCTGAAGATGAAAATGGTCCCTGAACATATTTAAATTGCTTCTTGCTCTTGTAGTCTTATCTTACTCTTCTTTCATTATTTAGAGAATACTTTATTAGTTTCTGCAATCAAACCCATGTATTATGAACCTTACATATTTAATACAGTGTGTTACCCCTGTACAAATGGAAAAAAAATTAAAAAATTAACATTTCTAGACTAATATGGCTGTCAATTTCTGTACAATGCTGACTCAACACAATAAATTGGGATAACTTTTTCCAAAATTGACAGCACAAAGTTTCCAAAAATTCAAATTATATATGTGTGTATATATATAGTTATATAAGAAGAGCAATAATAGCAGTATGTTAGGCATCAATAGCAGCAACAGCTTCTCCAGGTTCTGCAGTCATCTGAACAAAATTATAGACATTCAGCACATTCCATTAAAAAAACAAAAACAAAAAAATAAAGAAAAGAATAATATCCAGACAACAGCAAAGTTCTGTTGCTGTTGCGGTACCTGGCACCATTTTTTTTTTATTAGCATCTTAATCATCATCTGGAAAGAAAACATTCTAGAGTAATATCTTTAAAAATAGCTCTGATAAAACACTGTCACTACTACATATCATAAAGCAGGTACAAGATATTTTACATTCATAGAGGTATGATACAGTACTGTCCTACATCAATAATACTAGAATCAGTTTTGGTTTGAAATTTGCTTTGCCTGTAAATAGGATTGCTACCCCTGCTTTTTTCTGGGCTCCTGTCACATGGAGAATTGTTTTCCATCCTCACTTTTTCAGTCTATGGGCTTCTTTTTGCACTAGGTGTGTTTCTTGTGTACAACATATTGTTAGATTTGCTTCTTATTCCATTCTGCCAGTCTATTTCTCTTTATTGGTGAGTTGATTCCATTGACATTGATGGTTATAACTGATATGTACTGCTAATGTAATTATTATGTTACTGAAATTGTCTACTTATTATTTGTTTTTGCTTCTCATATATTTTATTATTATTATTGTTTTCATCTCTTCTTCTCTCCTACTTTGCCTTAGGCTTTTTAATGTTATTTAGAACGCAGTTTTAATTTATTTACTTTTGAGCTACATATTTTTACTTTAATCTTAAAGTATTATTCTAGTGACTACAACATATGCCTTACATCTCATAGTGTATTTATACTTAATGGTGTATGGCATTACTAAATCTTACAATAATACCATTTTATTCATCCATATATGCACATCTTCATATATCATACACCCTAAAACTAGTCTTTTATATTTACCTATATATTTTTAAATTATTCCCTTCAACCCTTTATAAAGATTCAAGTTTTCTTCTAGTATAAAATCTCAAAGCCTGGAGAACTTCTTTTAGCAGTTTTATCGTCTAGATAGGGAAGAAATCTGAAAATAATGTTATCTTGCGCTTATTTTTGACAGATATTTTTTACTAGTTACAGAATTCCTGGTTAAGGTTAACATTTTACCACATTAGAGATATTTTTTCACTGTCTCTTCTGGCTTCCAAGATCTTTGATGAGAAGTTCAATTCCTTCCAATCAGTGGCCCCAGTTGGCAGTATGTCATCTTTCTCTGGGTGCTTTCAAGATTTTCTTTCCCTTTGATCTTCATCCAGTTTTCATGATGTGTCTACAAATCATATTTTTTTCTTGAAAATATCTTCTTTGGAGGTAACTGAACTTAATGAATCTGGAAATTCATGCTGCTCACCAAATGGGGGACTTTTCCAATCATTTATTTTTTCAAGTATGTTTTTTTTTTTTTTTTTTTTTTTTTTTTTTTTTTTTTTTTTTTTTTTTTTGGTACAGGGGTCAAACTCAGGTCCTTGCACTTACAAGGCAGATGACAGAACCACTGAGCAAAATCCCTGCCCCTCTGTTTCATATTTTAAAACTTTGCATTAAAGGTAGTAATTACCCACATGTCAGAAACTTTCAAATTATCCTTAAGTTGCTGAATCTCTGTTTTTCTCCTTCTTTTCAGAAAATATTTTTCTTTGTCTGCTGGATGTGTTTCATTCATTTTCAAGTTCACTGTTTATCCTGTGTATCATTTCCACCAGAATTCAAGCTCTCTCAGAATCATGACTGTGTGTCCTGAACCTTTGTGTCCCCAACCTTAGAGCAGACACCCTGGAAGCATAATGTGCAAATTACGGATCCTTATGGATGGTTACAATACTAGCATGTGTCCATAATTTCATTTAATAGATGCTCTGTTAGGTGAATATGGCAGAATATAGTAAGTTTTCTTACGAATTTGCACACATGTGTAAATACCGAATAGCTTCTCTGGTGTGAAAAACTATAATAGTACATAAGATCCTAATGAGATAATTGACAATGTGAAATAGGAAGAAAAGGGCTAAAGGTGTAGGGAAAGTGGGAAGGGTAGGGGAAAGGGAATAAGGGAAAAGAAAAAATATGAGAAAATGAAAAAATGGAAATGAAGTGTTTGTAAATGGGGAGGGGAGGAGAAGGAGAAGGAAGGGTAGGGACAAGGGGAAAAAATGAGAGCCAAGATCTGTCATGTAAAGGTACAAGATCCCAACGATGAATGTAACTGTATTGTATACCTAAAATGTACCAATAAACTCAAAAACATAAAAAAAAAAGAATTTTGTTGCTTTTATTTATAAGAAAAAAAAAAACCTCAGGTAAATGGCGATAGCTATTAGCAAGCAAGAACGTTTTTACCAAGATTTTGCTGAACACATATAAAATCTTCAGGCTTTCAAAATTGTACTCATAAAAGAAGTGTTATGGATTTACATTTTCCAACTTGGCAATTCTTCATTAAGTTGGGTTTATCTTTATTCCTAAAATCATTACCACAATTTTATGATACAAAAATTGCAGTAATACCTTAGAAGTCCAGTAGTTTCTCATACAGCTAGAATAGGTACCATTGTGTTGACTGTTTTATGATACCATATCTCAAATAATAAATCTGTCCATTTGTGGGAAAACCAAACACATATGAGCTAGCATGCCACTGAGCAGAAACCTGAACTTTCATTGCTTAACAGTAAATCTAAATTAATAGACACACTAAACTTCATAGTGAGCTATCAAAACTCAAATTTTAACCTATTTGGCCAGGTTTAAATACAATATTCATGACTGGTAGTTATTTGTGAAATAGACTTAGTTAACATATTACTATCAAATAATCTATTGTTAAAATAAGCAGAAATTAAAGCTATATATTACATAAAATAAATTTCACAACTTCCTTGAGGAATCTGAATCCACGGCAGTGAAGGATGTGAATCTTTCTTGAGTTTACGCAGGCATCCACCAGTTAGGGATACTATTCTATGGTTCTGTGTTCTGATCATGAACATTTTGTTTTACGGAAACCAATAACTATGTTTGTTAGCATCACAAAGATTACTTTAGGCATCATATTTATCACTATTTTATAGTCTTATAATTGTAGAAACTGTCATCTAATGTCTATAATTTATGCTACATCTCTACCTATAAGTATGTTTGATAATCAGCTCCTTGCTAAGGAGCTGACTAAATAGTAAATGACATGTACATTAAGAGTTTCATTAACACTGCTAAAGCTAGTTTCAAAAGTTTAATCTCCCAAACATTTCCCTGAGTTTAAATCAAAGTAACAAATATGCAATTAACCTGAACAGAGGGAAAATGCCTACTCAGCATTTTAGAGAATGTTCTGGCTCTGAGTCACCTCATTTCTCAAAGTAACAATAAAAATGAGCCTTTCATTTTGCAAAGGTACCATTGGCATTTACAGAAGATGATCAAAATAAAGAAGAAAAATAACTTTTGCATTATATCAAAATGAAGGTATTTTACCCCAGCCATGAATTTTTGCCTTTGCAGATTTCATCTATCAAAAAAATTTCTCCACAAGTTGCCAAGGGTGCAGTTATTTTCCGGGGACTTCCAGGACGGTGACTTACCTTATGAAAGTTTCTAAAATAAGCTGCCTTTTCATCTGGAAATTTTTCTAACCGTCTTGGTCCCTTGCTAGAAGCCTTCTTGAAAACCAACCAGCATCGTCTGAAAATCTGAAAGTAAATAAATTCTATTATGTTTCTTTTTACACCAACTTACTGCTTACAGGAACTTTATGCATTCAGTTAACCGACAGTGAATAAATTTTTTAAAGACACTTATTTTACTGAGTGCTTATCTTTGAATAATATGTTATTAATTAACACCATATCAAATTAAAAATTATATTTCATACAAAATGAAATTTTTGTGAATTGATTGGGTGATGAGATTTTCAACGTGTTGATTTCAATAGGCTAATATAAGTAAACCACCTGTGTGTCAGTGCTACATATGGTATTTTTGTCATCTTCTTCATGACAGATAATTTTCTATTTTCCATGCAAGTGCAATGGCAGTTTAATAAGGTTAAGTGAAGCCCTCATACACTATTCAGTTTTCTGATGAATAAAAATGATGAAGAAAAATCACATTTAAAAGTTAAATTGTATTATAGGATTTTAATGTTTCTAATGGATGCTTGAGTGTTAATTTAGAAAGCAGTAAAAAAACATGTTTTTGCAATGGACACATATGTTTCTTTCTGTTTTTATAGTATCCAGTACTTATTAAATACTTATTATGTGTAATAAATTTCATACTCACGGGATTGAACAGGTATTGTTTTCTTCATTTTAATATCAAATGAAAAACAATGTGAGAATTTGAGCCCACATCTGTCTCTTAAACTGTTAAAAACATGACTTCTAATTATGAAACAGAAATCACTATTTCTAGACCTTGCCTTTACCTCATGAAACTAATTAACTCTATACTTTTGGATTGTCTTTCACCTGATTCCTACCATATCACAAATTCTCTGCAGATGTTTGAAGGCAAAGTAACAAAATTAGACTTGCTTTGTAGAAATTAAACAGGCCTGGGAATACAAACTGGCCATGGTTTTAAATTTCAAAATGTAGCGATTTTTTTTTTTTGCTGCTGTGTAATTTCTCTATAGAACAGAAATAAAAAAATTAATCAAAAGAAATTTGAGAAAATTAGGTCACTACATTTATCCTCTATATTTCTATTTAAATTGCAAAGCTGTAGTTTTCTGCTCAGCAGAGGACAGATAGTGTAATCCTTTTGATTTATTCCTATATGAATTGTTTCTTGATGGCTGAAAACAATATTTCTAAGAGTTCAAAGGAACTCTTAGAGCAATCACATAGAGCTATCATTAGAAAATCACAGAAAGTAGAGTAACGATGCAAACACAGAGCTCTCCTGTCTTCCTTAACTCCTCTCCAGCAGCCTTGTGAAGAACATCAAGAGCAACCCTGAATTCCCCACCTGAGTGAACACACCTGTCCTTTCTCTCTGGGATCAGTTACATTCTCCCTCTCAAAGACTTCTAACCATGCATCTGTATATCAGAAGCTGTTTATTCCTTTTGAGGTCCTAGAATTCTTCCACACACTTATGTTTATTAGCACACTGTGTTTGGTTGGGTTTTTTTTGTTTGTTTATTTCTTTTTTTTTCAGCTTTAATTGAGTTTATTGGTACATTTTAGGGATACAGTACAGTTACATTCATTGTTCGGATCTTGTACCTCTACATGACAAGTCTTGGGAGGGCAGGGGTAAGGGAAAAAATGAAAAAAAATGTTTATTTCTTACTGATCTCTGCCTCTAAAGTGAGACATAATTTTAAAATGTTGAAAATAAGATGTAAATATATGGTGTATTTCGCTTTAACTCATTTCTGCTTGGATTTCTTTAGGATTGTAGAATCCCAATTTTTAAACAAAAAATTTTATTTTTTAAGTGGAAACATTTAGAATGAGCTAAACATGAAAGTGTAAGTATTCCTATTTAGTTGCTCAATGTTTTTTAGGATAAACCTGATAACAAACAATGAGGATTCAGAGATTTAATATTTTTGATAGTAGCTTAACTTTTTGCTATTACATAACAGAAGCAACCAGATATAGATAAAACTGATTTCTAGAGACTTGAAGTAATAAACTGTTTATCCAGTGAGGCCCTTGTGTTATTTATTTTTTGGAATAATTTTAGACTTAGGAATATTTCCAAAATGATGCAGTAAGTTCCAATATAATTTACCAAATTTCCCTAATATTAACAGCTTACATAATAGTGGTACATTTTTCATACTAAGGCATTAACATTGGTAAAACACTGAAATAACTGATAAAACCAAACTAAATTTTAACTCAAATTTTTCAATATGTTTTCCTGCCTTCTTCTATGACAGGATCCAATTCAGGATTAGAAGTAGCATTTATATGCCCTACTGCTTAGTCTCTTCTGATCTGAGATAGTTTTTCAGTCTCTGTTTTTTCATGACCTAGAAAGTCTTACCGGGTGAAGATAATTATTTTGTAAATTAAAAAAAAATTAAACAAAGTAACCAAGTAATCATTTAATAAATGCAGTTTCCTCTTTGACACAATTTTTAAAAAATATCTTGCTTTCAATCAGAAATAAATAATGAAAAAGGGCCTCAGTGTGGTGAATTTTCAAGTGTCATTCAGTCTAAATGTGAAATTAAATCAAGGATGAGTCAGGACACTAAATGACACCTCCACATCAGAAGTATAAAATGAGTGGAAGCAAGAGGAGATCACCTTTTTGTCCTTTTCATTAAATCAGGTTTTATGAGTGTACTATTATTTGCTTAAGACCTTGGGACTGACTTCTTAGATAAGTGTGTTGGCAAAATTCCAGAGCATCAAGACTGATTTCCTGAGACTAGGAAATCACTCTGAGGGAAGAAAAAATAATAACAAAAGAAAAAAGTTTTATTTTAATTGTAAATAAATGAGAAAATATCTTTGAGTACACAAAAGAGAAACTTATGAATGAAATTGGACTCCTTATTTTTATTTACATCCCTTTAATGACCTGCATTAACAAGTACAGTAAGAAACCAGCTATTCTCTTCAGACATTCTTTCCTCCTTGGGTCATCTTAAGTTGCAGAGGCCATTTGGCCTCTTAGGAAGAGAAATCAGTTCTGGCAAGAAGATTCTCCTTCGTCTGGGTCTGTTGCTTGGCAGATGATATTGCTGCCTGCTCTCATGGTTTTCGGGTGCACCACCCTTCTCTAGCCTGGGTGGACTGATTTCACCTTCTCATTCACAGCCCTCTTCTAAAAACGCTGGTTGTCTCACAAAATGTCTCCTGGGTGTCCCTCAAATTCACCTTTTACAAAATTCCACGTTGCTGGCAGGTCTCCACAAATCCCCAGAATCCCCAGCTGGTCCACACCCTCGTTTTCCACTGCATTAAGCCACCAGCCAGCTTCCCATAATTAAATACCTTCTTAATCCCTTTCCATCTGATGAAAACCCTTTTACCACATGGCAATCTCTTTCTTTAAGTGCTTTCTCCTTTTCAAGGTGATTTTACACAAAGGACATTCCTTTTATGTTTAAGACTTACTGTGAAGTAAATGGCAGATTTCTTGGCTTTAGTCCATACCTGTAATTATGTTATTTAGCTAGAAGTCATTCACAAGCTTTAACTTACCTAAAAGTAGGATTTAATAGGCCTGTTCCATCACAAGCTATTGACCTAATGAACCTTGTACCTCAAATAGGATTTTGGTTAGAAACTTGGAAGAACTTGTGAGTATGGGAATTGTCAAACCTGAGAGTCCACTGAACTGAAGATTGTTTTGAGAGTTTAAAACAGAAGAAAAGAGCACAGCGAAGTAGTTTGTACTTGTATTCCCTTCTGAAAGCTACATCCTATATAAATTATATCTCGGGGTTAGAATTCAATTATTAATTCATAACTGTATCAGATAAACATTTAAGACAACAAATAAATAAATAAGTACACAACTATTCCACTCAAGAGTAATTATTACATGCATATACTATGAGTAATTTCAATGATAGTCCTCAGTCTTTGTCCTCCCACAAAATGTGTAGAGTACTATTAAAAGACATTTCTTATTTGAAAAAAGTAATCATTAAACAGGATTAAATTTAAAACACTGATGTGTGTGCATTTAGCTATCTTTTCAATATAGAGTGAGGTTTAGTATCTTGCAATACAGCTTTATGCTTAATTGCTATTATACAGTGACATCTCATTTCATGAACTTAATTTGTCCTATGATTTTGGAAAAGATGGCCACAATTTGTGTTTGTGTGGAAAAGACGGCCCTTGTTGTGTCTGTCACCGGATGCAGATTTTGCAAACAAAAACAAAATTTTGCCAAACATTTATGTTTGCAAACCAAATTGTTGGGATTATGGATGTGTACCACCATGCCTGGTGACAGCTGACTTTTTGAAGTAAAAGGTTTCCACCATGTACATGCTGATTTGGGGAACTGGGAGGAACTGACTTCTGGAATGAAATTCACTGTCTTTGTAACAGTTTCTGAAATCTTCCTCCTTGTTCCCTAAGACTGTGCTTAACTCTTTTCTTAGAAAACGATTTAGCCTTTACTGAGCTAATTACAATTCTTGACGAATAAGAGTTGTAATTAACAACCCACCTTGCAGCTTAAACTGTAAAAACTGACTCTTATCTTTGAACCTCACAGCATATTTTCCAGACAGCTTGAATTTAGTGTCTTCTAACTTATATTCCTAAGGAATCCTAAATCAATGTCTTCATTTTGACTATGTGCTTTTGCCTCAGGTTGATTTTACTAGGTTTTATTAAGTACTACAAGAACTCTAAGGGGCTAAGGGTGTGGGCGGAGAACATGAGTATGACCACAAGAGTTCAGAGAGAGGGTGAGAAGTAGCTCAAGTAGGAGCTGGTTTGAACTCGAAGACGAACCACCAAGAGCTTGGAGCCACCATGGAACATGGTAGAGCACAAACTGTAACCAAAAAAGGCTGTTGTAACTGTTTATCAGAGTACACATTAAACATTTTATAGGATAGAGATGCTTGGAAATGACTAGAGCCTAATTCAATGGAATGTATAAACCCTTCTGAATTTGTGAGAATCCATAATCTTATAAATCAAAATTGGTAAAAATAGAGATTTAATAACATTTTAAAATTTTGATTTTATTAGTA